TGTCAAGCGAAAATGTCACAGGGTATTAAGCCACTTCTAGATACTGCTGAATCTGCACCTATTTGAAGAAAAAAAAGATGCTATCTCTGTAGCAGTGTGCTGCCACCTTGATTAGTGAATTCCTGGAGAATACAATTCTTTATAAGAAAAAGAAAATCAGCTCAGCTGTTTACATTACTTTTAAAAAATATACTTCACTTATTCTGTAAAGTAGAACTGCCTGTGCCTGCAGCTATGAGACAAAAAAGGCTTCAGTATAAAGTTTTCATTTGTCCTTTGACATTTTAAGTTTGGGAATAATTCTAGGTTGAGCTATGATTCCAAATATGAAACAGACTCGTTCCTTAGATGTGAGGAACTGAAAGGTACATGGGCTCTTTTGGAAGCAGGACGTGAGGCATGATGTCCTGGCTAGAGAGATTTCCTGGAAGTGTGATGCCTGAAGTCTGACAGAGGTGTTAAGCTCCTAAATCCTAGCTCTTCTTCTGGTATGTCATGGGGCTTGGGGTAGTTACTTCACTTCCTTAAGCACAAGCTGCCTGACCTACAACACAGGTGGTTAATATTTGGCTCACAGTTCTCACAGTATTCTTTGGCTTTGACAAAATTGCACTGACCTCTTCCCTTTCCACTATTTTCCTCTTTCCTGTTATTATTTATACTGACGAATGTGGGGGTTCCTTAAGGCTCACCCCTTGGGCCTCTCTGTGTTTCTATTTCTACTCTCTCCCTTGGTTACCTTACCTGCAGCCAGGTCTCTGTTTACTCCAGCCCAATCTTGCCTCTATTTCAATCTCATGCTGTACATCTCCATGTAGACTGTTGCCTGCCAATTTTAAATTCAACAAACATAAAGCCAAAGTTGTTATTTCTTCCTCCTCTTGACTTTGGAATGGACAGCTCTTTTAAATAAGGCCCTCAGTTTTACAGACTCCAAACTTCTGAGTCACCTTGAACACTTTTTTTCTTGTTCTTTATCTTATCAGTCAAAACATTCTGTGGGTTCTAAACTTTGAAACTTCCTTGGTCAGAGCAGGGATGGAAACTCATAGGTGTATAATAATTGTGTCATAGGTCTTTACAGAGTAACATGACTCTTACTCCATAATATAGATTAATTTTAAAATTCTAAAATTAAAGACAATTCTGCCTTCTAATTTTAATTGCCCAGACTATACTACAGTTAGCTAAATTAGATCTTTGCTTACAGAGTTTCTCCCATTCTGTCATGTATACAACTTCCAAAGTAACCATGTGCTTCTCTGATAATAACCTTAAGCAGTTTTCTAAATGCTTCTGAATAATGCGAAAGGGAGGGGTCTTGCATTAACTGTGGTTTTAACTCTCTTTCCAGCCTTTCTTTCAGTCTTTCCTTATATTGCTCTGATTCCATTTCCTACATTCTCCCTAATAAAGTCCTTAAGCTTAGAATCCAAAGACCTTTTCCTGACCCCAAATCTTTGCTCATTATTTCTTTTCCTATTTTTTGCCCTACAGAGTAGATATTTACTGGTCACATTTAGCTGAATCAGTAGGCCCTTAGGCTCCCCCTCCTCAAATGCCATGCTTCATTCTCTTTTTTGTGAAGCCCCACACCACTTTGGCTATGACATTTGCATAGCATTTATCACACACAACCTCAGTACTAGATTCCACAATCTTGAATGCAAGTATTGACACTTTCTTAGTGTGCTTCTGAGTATTAAGCATTCCCTAGGTCATTCAACAGTCTTTAATGTAGTCTTTGTATGGTTCCTTGGAGCTGTATTCTCTAGCCCTGCCAAAATTCCATTTTATGTGTTTTGACCTAATTACATAAATTTGTTGTTTTGGATTAGAAAGCTCTGTGGAGATTATTTTAGTGCCAAACCTTTTAAATCAATGTGGAAATGAGCCCCTGAATGGGAGAGTGGTGACTCAGCTAAACAAACATAGTTTTTAATAAATGAAGATGAAATCTTGGGATTACTGCGCACACCAAAAGACCCTGGGTTTCCAAATCACCTCCTGAAGTACCTAATTCAGTTTTTCCATATAGAAGAAATTTTTTGCTGACTGATGCCATAAGAAAAAATGCAGTGTGATCAAGAAGTATAGGTTTTGGAATATAATTAGATTTAGATTCTGTCCTGGTCACTTGGTAGGTGCACAGATTTTGGTAAACAGCCTCTCAGCATATTTTCTCATCTACAAAATGTGCATAGTTCACTTCACGAAGTTGTGTTGGTGGAATAATGAAAGGGTATAACGGCTTTACAATAAACTGAAGTCATTCTTTAAAACAATCTTCAATAAGTTACACATGTGCAGATTTAACTCAATGCTTAGATTTTTATCATAGGTCCCTTTTCTAAATTGAATAAATGCATAGTGGATTTCTTTTTATCTTCCCCTCATAATGTTGAAATTATTTGGGTGGTTATAAGCATTAAGTAAGAGCCCATGCAGTCATTTTCATAAAAGTTTCTTTTAAAAAAAAATATTACCAGCTGGGCACAGTGGCTAACCACTGTAATCCTAGCACTCTGGAAGGCCAAGCCAGGAGGATCACTTGAGACCAGCCTGAGCAAAAGTAAGACCTATTTCTCCTTAAAATAGAAAAAATCAGCCAGATGGGGTGGTGCTCACCTGTAAACCCAGCTGCTCAGGAGGCTGAGGCTGGAGGATCACTTGAGCCTAGGAGTTTGACATTGCAGTTGGCTATAGTAACACCATTGCAATCTAGCTGGGGTGACAGAGCAAAACTTTGTCTCAAAAAAATAAAACTAGAACTGTTTTGGAAGGTGGATGCTTAGAACATTTTGCATAGCTAAGCTGGGAGATAGAGATAAGATGTTTGACACTTTACAGATCTCATTGTTTAGCTCTCTAGTTAAAAAGCTATGACATGTACTTAGTGAACACTTAGGTCTAACAGGCCTGTGTTAAGTATTCCAATAGCTTCCTAACTGTTCTCAACCTTGCTCTTTTTTACAATGTTACCTTGCCTTTCACACCAATTCTGCGAGCCCAATCATGAATGAAGACTACCTGTCCCAGCCCCAGCCAAACCGCAACAAAAATAGCCAGGTGTGGCGGGCGCCTGTAGTCCCAGCTACTTGGGAGGCTGAGGCAAGAGAATTACCTAAGCCCAAGAGCTAGAGGTTGCTGTGAGCTGTGGTGCAACAGTACTCTGCTGCGGGCGACAAAATGAGACTCTATCTCTTAAAAAAAAAAAAGAACTGTTTGTCAAGTCTTAGGTGCTTGAGAGAGTTCTTTCCTAGTACAGGGATCAGCCCTTGGTGATGCACATTTTTGACCAGGCTATCATTTGGTCATTAAATTTGTTTATAATTAAAAAAAAAAAAAGACTACCTGTCTATAATGGCATGGTGGAAGACAGTGATCTTAGGGGGAATAAAGGAATACCTGGTACAACTTCTAAAATACTATTGGGCCCTGATATATTTTGTTTATAACAAATGTGGGAGTTAAGAGGTGTTTTAATATCCAATATGAGGCTCATACGGGTACTAGATGGTTTTTAAAGCACCACCCCCAAACTTTTAAACTCTAAATTGTTTGAATACTGTTAGGTTTCATGAAAGCCCACAGTAATCCCTTTCTTGGAATTCTTATAGAATTGGTTTCAACACTGGACAAGATGAGATCCGGCTCAGTACAGGGTAAGCATGAGTCAGAGAAATGCTATTGTGCTATTGTTGAATACTGTTGTTTTCCTCTTTATAAAGCTCATATTAACCAATAAGAGGCAACAGAAGGCATTCAGGGAATAGCATGAAAGGATGTAACAAACATCCCCTCAGCTGGTCCAAGGATTGAGGCATAATTCCAAGTGAGGGATTTCACTTAACTAGGTAAGGCATTTAAGGGGAAAGGAATCTAGGCTAGGACTCTGTTAACCAGACCCACACAAATTATTAAAGAGAAACGTGTTGTCTGAGCTATTCCCCATTAGGATGAGCAACCCACCTTGCCATCAATCTTTTAGTATTTTTGACAACGGCAGTGTTGGGCTGAAGGGATCTTTACTCCAACCAGTACTATATGGATCCGTGGTTTTCAAACCTACCTACATAGTGGAGGAGCAATTTTAAAAATCCTGATACCCAGTCCCATCCCTAGAGATTTTGATTTAATTTGCCTGGGGTGCAGCTTGGATATCTGGAGTTTTAAAAACACCTCATGTTATTCTAATATATGGCCTGCCGGGCAAACCGCGGGCTGTTCCTAGGGTCTTGTAACAAACCTTCCTCTTAAAATCCACCGACACTCCATTTATTAAATAGCTTTCTGAGCCAGTTTGTATGTTGTTGTTGAGATCTTTTCCCATCTTTCCCCCCAAACGCAAAACACTCGGGAGGGGGGTGAATCTCTCTCTAAGACTCAAACAATCCTAAAGTGTAAATCAAGAGTATCCGTGTTAAACAAAAACCCAGGTGAAGAAAGTGATTCCCACCCAAACATGGTAATAACAAAGCTCACTTCCTGCTGTGTTGCTCAACTTGTTTTTTAGATCCTTTCCCACTTGCCGTTTTCAGATCAAGGAGTATTCTAGGAAACAACACACTCCGTCGTTTCTTCCCCAACCCTCACCTTGGCATTTGAGACCTCCCATTTGAAGGCCTGGTGTGGTCAGCCTCTCAGTTCCACAATTTCCCGGCTCCGCTTGGCTGCACGCAAGCGCGCCGCGGTCCGGGAAAACCCACTCAGAGTCCAGGACAGCGACGCCTGCGCTCTTAAAACCACTCCCCTCTCCCCTGCCCGCTCTCGGGTTTTCTTTACTTAACAAGCTGATATATTTATAATTCATGTCCAGCCGGCGGCTTATCGCTGGTTCCACTGAGCAGTGGAAAGAAAAGGTTACTGCGTCCCGTCCCTGAAAGGGCTCCCACCGTCCCGGAACTGGTTTGGTGAGGCTCAGTTCCCCCGGGGCGGGTGACGCAAGAGCCCCGCCCAGCACCTTTGACCTCAACAAACCCATAATTGCCCCACCCTTTTGGTAACTCTGAGTCCGGCTCAGACACAGTTCAGCTGCCTTCGAGGACCTACTCTGCGCTGGCTTCTGTTCTTAACGCTCGTCTCTCCAGCTGGCTTCCCCTCACTGCAGCCTCGGCGGAGTCCGGGAGCCGGGTCCCTGTCCCCGCCCACCATGAGTGTCGCGCGGCCGGGCGCCCCGGCAGTGCTGCAGGTCCTCGGCGGTCTGCACCTGCTCCTGCTCCTGCTGTGGTCACCAGCTGCACAGGGTGAGTGGGGGCCCGCCCGGGTACCCAGCCCGGCCGGTTCAGACCTTTGTGTGTGGGGGGTGGGGGTGGGATGGGGGTGCGGAGGGCGAGCAGGTGGGTCTCCGTGACTATGCAAAGGGGACAGGGACCTGGCAAATAAGGAAAGTGAACATCGGTAATTGTTCCGGTAACCTTTAAGGCTCAGGACTCCTACTTCCTTAAGCTCCAGGGCTAACCGGCATGTGGGGGATCTTGTTGTGCCGGACCCCAACTGGCAAGCGTGATTTTAGGCATAGGGGTGGAGGCTTGAGGAAGCACTGGCTTGAGTTGCCCAGCAGCCCAACCTGGGAAAAGAAAAAGAGAAGGCTCACAGAGAGTGAATTCCCGACACTCCCAATAAGCTGGACCAAAGGGTGGACGGCCAAATACCTGATCACTCCTGCCTCTCAGCATTAGAGTCCAGTCGTGTGGCTCACACAGCCTACAAACTTGCATGTCACCTCCTTCGGGTACAGCGTTCCGAGAGGGGGAATGTCTTAGCTGTCTAGGAGCAGTATCTACATGGACACTGGATACATTCTAAACCACCTTTTCTTATTTTTAAATAACGAAAGGGGAACGGTTCATTTACTTTCGGTTTATTTTAGTCTTCAATTAATTGACAAGACATGAAGCCTAGCAAGTTCTTGGTGTATGTCAGCACCACACTGGGTGGAAATACCACATATTTATCAAAAGCCCTGTTTCCGTTATTCTTAAGTCTGGGAAGCAATATGGCTGTGATTTAAAAAAACGTATTTCCTTCAGTTTTCCTTTTTGCTCCCTAGGTGACTGCCCGCCTCCTCCAGAAATGCCTAATGCCCACCCAGACTTGAAAGGTCTTACAAGTTTCCCTCAGAATACCACTATCATATACCTCTGTAATGACGGCTTTGTAAAAATTCCTGGCGTGCAAGACTCGGTGGTGTGCCTTGACAATAATCAGTGGTCACAGGTTTCAGAATTCTGTAATCGTAAGTTCTTCATTTCTGTTTAGAGAAGTTATTGGAATGGAATGGAATGTATCTTAAATTTATTTTTATATCTCTTTTACTATCTCTAGTAATTGATAGTTTTCTAGCATTATTAAACTCCAGGGAATACCATGTTGGCCCATCACACTCCTGTTAATTGAAGGCGTTGCTTTCCTGAGTAGGTCCTCCTTCTTCACTAAGAGGTTTTTTTCTTCCTAACACTGTACCTCTTGAACAGAGAAGGAAAACAAAAGGTACTGTTCAGAGAGTAAATTATTGAGGAGCATATTTGGCATTTACCTTGAGACATGTAACATAGGTGGTCTGTTTTCTTAAATTTCATTTCATAAATTAGGTCTTACCAGATCCAACTCTATGGGGGATTTTTAAAAGCCCTTAATATTTACTTCAAAATCTATTAGAATAATTATACGTATTTATGAAGTACCTGAGATATTTTGACACATACATGCAATGTGTAATGATCAGGGTAATTAGGCTATGCGTCACCTCAAATATTTCTTATTTCTTTGTGTTGAGAATATCCCCAATCTTCTAACTACTTTGAAATACATGTATAAATCAAAAAAAAAAAAAAAAAAGAACAAGAGGTGAAGTGAAGAGTTGTTTTAGGTCCAACAGAGTAACAGTGTTCAATATTAAGATAGCCAATAGAAATAAGACAAATGAAGGTGTCTTGGTTTGGGTAAATATACATTAAGTCATCTACACTTTTGGGCCCTTGGTTCAGTAAAATAAAAGCATTATCTCAGAGGAAAACTTTCTATTATGTACACAGTCCTAAATTAGCTCTGAGATATACAGTAAAGATAAAGATAAGACTTGATACCTGCCTTTGAATAGCTTAAAAGCTCTAGTAAATATAGAAACTGCTATAATACTTTTCTTACAAATGCCATGTATGAAATAGGCTTTAGTTTTTTACCTATCCATAGTAGAGACAGTACAGACATATCATGTTTTAGAGTTGATAACTTTTCCTCATGTATTTTTTTTATCAAATCCTCCAAACAACCTCATGAGGTACATAGGGACTCTTATCCCCATTTAGCTGTTGAGAAAACAGCCCCCCCACCTCCCCCGAGGTCAGATTGCTTCCTCAAGATCAGAAGCTCTTATGCCAAAGAACCAAGGCTCAAACTTGGGCCTTTCAACTATAAAGCCAGTGCCCCTTTCACTATACCATGCATTTCTAGATTCACATTTGCCTGGCTGTTTACAGTTTTTGTTTTTTTTTTTCCTGTTTGCAGTTTTTAAATACTGTGTATATACAGTTGACTCATCTGATCCTTGTCCCCATGGCTTGTTGTGGGAATTAAATGAGTTTGTGTGTAAAATATTTATGTATTCAATAAAATTAGCTATTATTATTGCTGTTATTGCTGCTGTGCTGAACATTAGCCTAGGGATCTGGAAATATCCATTCTCATTTATCCCTGTGCCAGATGGTGCCATGTAATTTCTTAGGGCATGGTAAGGGAACTAGCATTTACTGAATGCCAGAACTATCCAGGCAACTTAAATGGGTTATGTTTTTTGAAAAGTGGGGATGGTAACATCTGTTTACCAAATATTCTACCTAGACGCTGGTAATTAGAAAATAAAGTATACATGTGAATACATCTAATACATTGCAAATACCATAGTGATGTTAAATATAGGTAAATACCAAATATGTGCAAATAAGTAAAGAAAAGGGGGTGAGTTAAGATCCAGATCATTCTAGATAATTAAACATAGATTATAAAACAAAAAGTGATACTACTTTTTGTGTTATTGCTTTTGTTAATACCTTTAGGTAGCTGTGCTATGCCACCCCGGCTACCATATGGAGTTGTCAGATCAAAATATAGGATAGTGACTTATTTTCCAGTCGGGACCACTGTGGACTATGACTGCCGTATGGGCTACAGAAGGGTCTTTGGTGTATCACCAAAAATAACTTGCCTTCCGAGTTTAGAGTGGTCGGTACCAGAACAATTTTGTGAAAGTAAGTATAATTTTTTTTTATAGTATAAGTTTTAAAAGTATTCCCTGTGTTGGAAATGTCCTCCTGCCTCTCAAATAAGTATTTCCAATGATTTGATATTTGGAGGAAATAATATCTCTTCATTTGTTTATGCTAGTACTCTATGTGTATCTGTCTGTGTGTGTGTGTATATGCATATCCATATACACATGTATATGTGTGTGTATATATATACATATTCTTTATAATAATTGTTAAAAGAACCATGATTACCAATTTATTTTAAATTACACAAATCATGTACGTGGTAGGAATACTTAATTTATTCATAAATTTCACATGTAATTTGTTTGCAGTTACCCAAAATGAAATAAATATGTGCTCTAAATATGTTTTTTGTTTTGAAACTTACAAAGGTAGAAATGAAGAAGTCTAAACATAAGAAATGTCAATGGTTCAGATGATGAATTTGCATTTGTGTGCCTAGCTTTTTAAATTGTTTGCGTCTTTACTAAAGTGTATTTGACAAATAAAAGTAGTATTATTTAAGGTCTACAAAATGATGTTTGACTTACATATACATTGTGAAATGATTACCATAATCAAACTAATCAACATATCCACTGTGTCAGATAGTTAACTTTCTGTGTGTGTGAACACACAAATAATCTAATGAAAAAAAATTTGTATTCTTTTCTAGAAAAACCATGTCCGAATCCTGGAGACTTAGTAAATGGTCATATCAATATAACAACTGATATATTATTTGGTGCAACCATTTACTTCGTATGTGACACAGGGTAAGTTTTGGCATACTAACACTCTATATTTAAGAAATGAGAAAACAAATTGGAACTTAAGATGCAGATTGTTAGTTTCATGACTGGTATTTACAAGCTGGTAGCAGCTAAAACAGGCGTCTTCAAACTACGGCCCGCGGGCCACATGCAGCCCACCTAGGACATTTATCTGGCCAGCCAGGTGTTTTTGCCGCCGCTGCCTGTCTTGCTTAGCAGCCAACTCGTCCCAGGGCCCGCAGTCGGCCCTCCAGTGGTCTGAGGGACAGTGAACTGGCCCTCTGTTTAAAAAGTTTGAGGACCCCTGAGCTAAAACAACCTCTCTTCTCAGAGATCCTTTGTCATGAACTCATCGGTTAAATTTAGTAAAATGGGGCAAGAAAGGAAGATTTCTGAGATCACCAAATTCTTTAAATTCTTAGATTTCAATACGTATGTGTTTCAGTATCACAGTTTACACATAAAGACAGGAATTTGAGATGTTGATCATACTTGCAAAAATAATCCTTCAAGTCCTAAATATTGAATTTGCTTATGGATTTTTCTATATGGAAACAAACTTACAAAATATAGTCGGCCAAAGACATTTATTCCTAGTATGAAAATGGTCTAAAACGTAAGTTCTTTTATAAGTTCTCTATGCAGAGGAAAGGAGCTCACGGAGTACCATCACTGTCTCAGACACTGTTGAAAGTTTACATTTATTTTCTTATTTCATATATAAAAATTGAATTATGCTAGTCTACTCTGTGTGTGTGTCCCTATTCTTTTTAAAATAAAAATATCACTTGTCTCCTACACCAAATGTAGATGTCAGTTGGGTTATTAACATAAAATCTGTGGCCAGTTAATAGTGGCTAATGCCTGTAATTCTAAGGTTTGGGGAGGCCAAGGTGGGAGGGTCACTTGTCAATAGTTCAATACTGTTGAACTATTGTGTGTAGCAAGACTGTCTCTACACAGTCTCTACACAGAAAAAAAAGTATCTGGGAAGTACTCTGAATCCTTTAAATATAAGTACATTCTATTACTATTCTGTAAAACCTGTATTAATCCTTTAGAACTCAGAAATATAAAATATCCAATCATCTATATCATTTAATAATGTTTTAAAACACTTTTTTATTTTTTAACATACCCCCCATGCACAGAAAAAATGTTCTACATGTCATGCTTTTTTACCGTTTGGTTGTCACCTTTTTAAACTTTTAATGGCTGTGTAGAGACTTATATCAGCTATTGTTTTGTCTCCATCTACTGCTACAGTAAATATTTTAAGATAATATTCTGGACAATTTGAGGAAAGTCAAACATGTGAATGGAACACAGTCTTTTTTCTGCCCTGACTGCTTTAGGTACAACCTAGTTGGTGCATCATCTAGTCTCTGTATTCTAACAGGCAATAATGTTGAGTGGAGTAACCCACTTCCAGTTTGTAGAGGTAAGACTGTTTAAAAATCTAAGCATTCAGGTTCTGGGGCTGAATAATCAATATTAAATTACTTTCTGTTAATTAAGAATTATGGACAGTGTGTATGTGTAGTACCCTCACCTTTCAACGTGTGAGGGACCTATTCTAGCTGTGGAGATAAACCATTACGCTTTTTGAGCCCCAATATCCTTAACCTTAGAATGAAAATTAAAAACAAACTTAGGTTTGTATTGTGCTTTGTTATTTATTATCTAACCATTCTTTCCGAAGTCAGATACTTTACATAGGGCATTCCCACCCACAATTTTAGGGTGGAAAATACTACGAGTCAGAGAGTCAATATCACTTGACTCCATATACTAGAACAATATGGCAATAGAAAGTGTTTAACCTAGGTATCTTACTTCAAAGTCATCATTTTTGTAAGACCCAGTGTTATCTACATGCCTCTTCTTAGGACTGTAATTATTAGCTGAGATAATGATCTAGAAGTGTTTTAAGTATCATTTTTTTATTAAAGAAATAAGGTTTCTGCACTTGAGAATCTTAACTTCTCAAAGAAAGATAGTACACAAAAATAATGACATAAATGGTATGTCCAGTCAAATTTACAACCATTAGAGACTCCTTTCTCCTGAAAATTAAGAGTAAAAACCATGCAAGATTTTTTAATGTAGGTTTATTTCTTTCATCCTGTTTTTCCTTATACTCAACTTACCTTTCCGCAAATGACTTCTGAAAACCCTATTGTTGAAATTATTCCTAAGTTCAAGTTTATTGTGTTACTAGGAGTAGGAAACTAGAGGTAATGTAATTGATCAATAATCTATTGATTGACACTGTATAGTAGGCGACATGTGGGGTCAACTGATAGGAAGGTTGACGCTTTGCTATCAAGGAGCCTACTCCTACCGCACCCACCATGTGTCCCACCCTTCTAGATCTTCTACTTTTCCTTTTTTCTTATTAGGCTTGTTTTTAAATTGTCATCATTGCTACCCATCACCACCATTCCTATTTCTACTATCCAGTAAGACAGTATATGTGATAATAAATTAAAGATGGAGAGCAAGGAAGAGCTAGACCATATATGTGTGTGTATGTGTGTGTTCACTCCCCCTGCCTTCTCCTCCAGCCTCTTATGGAGCTGATCTCATGGCTTTTACACCACAGGTGTACCACTGCTCTCGTCTCGCGAGCTCACTCATACTGTTTAGGAGAGCTAAATCCTTCCCCATGTCCTTTTCACCAAGGCATTCCATACACACATACACACACACACACACACACACTTTTTTTTCCCCCAGGCAATGTGTCACAAAGTCCAGATAAGCACTGTCCCATCTGAGCCCAGCAGCAGCAACTCCTATCATGAGTTTCATAGGAATGTGGATACCAATACATATTCTAGCATAAAAGAACTTTGGCACTGCAAATCCACTGTGCCCACGTGTAGGCCACAGTTCTACTCCCTGTTTGGTGTCTTGAACTCCACAGTGAACATCCTGAGGTTCATATTTTTCTCCTAGAATGTTCTATCCATCTCTCTAATTCAGTAATCACTGACATCTGTATTCTGCAAAAAAGAGTCCTTTTTCTTAAGCAACCCAAGTGTCTTAACTATTTTAGAAAGGCCTCCTTTTAGGATCTAATTTTGCTTTTTCCTTAACTTTTTTGTTTTGACCATACCAAAAAGATGGGGTGAGAAGTACATTATTAATGAACTGCTTTACCTAAAGTATGCAGCCTTAGCCTATAAAACACATAAAGTTGTATTGATGTCCATGTGTGAATATGAATTTGAATATATAGATATGAAGATGGAAGGAACAATGGACACATTTAAGAATTGTCCTTAGTTATACATCAAAAGAAGTGGTATTTGTTTCCCTCTGAGTGAAGCCTTAGTATCAGAAGAACCCATTTGCTTATCTCTTTGCCAGTGTTTTCTTTTTCAAAATTAATTTCAGTTGACTGCTGATACCTGCTGGCCTGGAATCAATTCTTGCTATACATGTATAAGGAGTTTCATCACTCTCTTTGTTTTAACTCTCTATATCTCATCACTGATTCATTTTGCTTTACCTACTCAGTATATTTTTCAAACCTATGTTTTACCCATGCAGACTATTGCACTGAAGGCCACTCCTACCTTTTCAGGACTCAGAGGCTATAATTTAAGTGGGGGTCCCTGGCATAAGACCCATCCTCTCTCAAATATTTCTCCTTCTTTCCACACTGTGAGGGTTCTCTGGTACACATAAATAGACAACTTACCTACATACCCAAGTCATATCCTCCATTTCGCCATGATCCTTACCCCAACTCCATTGATCTTTTGGTTAGAAGTGAGTTATATAAACAGTACAGATCACCCTGAAGAATGTGGACCAAGGGAACAGTCCTCTTAGGCACTGGAAAGGGTATTAACACAGGGAATTCTGGGCACTGGCTGTGGAACATATTCTAGAATGGAAGAAGGAGTAGTACAATGAGCTGTCACTGAGCATATCCTCTCAGCCCTACAGATATTCCACCAAACAAGGGCCAGAGCATAGCCCTTGTGCTGGGACAGGAATCTTAGTTGCATGTGTTCAAGAGTGATACTGAGGCAGTGGCTTCCTGCCTCTATTCTTACACTCTGTTAATATTTCATTCATAATTTACCCAAACTAATCTATCTGAAAAACAGATAGGACTTGTCTCTTTCCTTCTTAAGCTTATTAGTATCTCCCATCACTTACAAAGTCCAAATTCATCAGTATAGTGTGTAAGAAAGTCACGGTCTACTTCTCCACACTCAGTGTCTTACTCTCATGTTTTATGCTTTATCCATACAAACTGCTTATCATTTCCCATGCACCTCATGCTTCTTTATCCCTTACATCATTTCTTATGTTGCTGCCTGGAATATTTTTCAGCCCCTTCTTTATTTGACTATATTTTCCTCATTAAGAGTCAGTTCTAGTCCTTCAGGAAGATCTCCAGGCTGGCTACTTCTGTGATAATGCTCACATTTTGTATTGAAATTCTCTTTGGGTGTAGCACCTGTAGCTCAGCGGCTAGGGCACCAACCACATACACTGGAGCTGGCGGTTTTGAACCCAGCCCTGGGCTTCCAAATGACAATTACAATGTACAACAACAATAAAAATAGCCAGGCATCGTGGTGGGTGCCTGTAGTGCCAGCTACTTGGGAGGCTAAGGCAAGAGAATCACTTAAGCCCAAGAGTTTAAGGTTGCTGTGAGCTGTGACACCACAGCACTCTACCGAGGATAACATAATGTGACTCTGTCTCAAAAAAAAAAAAAAAAAACCCCAAGAAATTCTCTTTGAATATTTTTCCCCACTAGATTTTAAGATAGAAACTATATTTTGCTCAGTTTTATATTTGCATTTATAAAATAATGCCTGGTAGGTTTCAGGTGCTCAGAAATGTTGAACTGATGGTATCCCTGCATACTCTTAGTATAAACCAGAATAGCTCCTTATTTTAATCAAAGGCTTAAGAGTCATTCATAAATTTGCTTGTATTCTCTTGGTATTTAAATACGTTTGGTGTAATGTCATTTGACATACATGTGTGATTATTGCCTTCCTTCTTAGAAAAGAAAAAAATTACTTCATGCCTATAGAGTTGCTTTTATCTCAGGGCAGCTGCCAGGCAGAGGCCTCTTTTGTACTGTGTAACTAGGGCAACTCTTCTTGTGTTTATTTTGCAAATTCAGCTGCTCAGTAAGATTTATTTTGAATAACAATTTCTTTGAGTCAATATGTGGTCAAAAATGTTATTCTAGAAGTCAAAATGTAGTCATGACATTTAAGATCTTTGCTCTATCCAAAATCTGCATGCATTTCTCAAGCATGCTGCTTCAATTCCCAACTCCTTTCATTTGTCATTATTTCCCCTGAGAATGAAGAGCAATGCTCTCTTTTATGTTTGTTCTTAAAAGAATGATACATCTTAGATTTAAACTCAAGTTTAAAATCATTTCCTCCCTAAAGTCTTCTCTGACAGGTCTACTTTCGCCTCTAAACGCCTATAGTATTTTCTTTTTATAGCACCATTTTGATATGTAACTATTGTAATTTTTGTTTTGCATGCATGTTCTAAATCTTATTTCTATGACTTGGTCTCCAGGTAAGTCTTCATGTTCTACAAGATTCGCATTCAAAGCTTGAAATATAGTACCAGTTGCTTAATAACCGTCTGTAAAACATTGCTTATTGATAATGCTGAATTGAGAAAAGTGGTAGATTTTGATTTTTTGAAATAAAATCATTAACATAGTCTTATTTATAAAAAATACTTTGCCAGTTTTATTTATTTAAAAGATGTTGGAATTTTTTTTAAGTAATTTATTGTCGAGACCCACCATCAATTGCCAATGGAAGAATAATTAGCGGAGAAAGCGGACAGTATACCTATAATCATGCTGTGGGGTATGCGTGTGATAAAGGCTTTACCCTGATTGGAGAAAGCACTATTTATTGTACTGCAAATGGTGAAGAAGGAGAATGGAGCAGCCTACCACCTCGATGTCAAGGTAATCATGTTGGGTCTACATATGGGCTGTACAGATTCTGTGAACTGCCTGAGAACTGAATGTAAAATGTTTCACATATGCATATTTGCATTTTTCTGCAGGGCACAGTTTTTCATCATACTCAAAGGGAAGGGGTCTGTGGCATTTATGTACACATATATGATGTATATACATATACAATAATCTCACTTTTAGCAAATTAGCTTACATTTGCTGTTTCATACCATGTTACTTTCAGTAAATTAATATAGATATGTCTTTGTTAATAAAAAGAGTGTGTGAGGTGATTTATTAAATTGTCAGAGAAATCTCATTGAGCTGAGGGCTCTAGTATAGTGTTCATACATAGTGTGACATCTGAAAAACTGTTGCCTGGCCACTGACAATTGAATTACATTTTCTGCCTCCAGAATATTTATTATTGACCATTCTCTCTTCTTCATCCTTCTAGACTTTTTTCCCCCAATGTCTCTTTATACCCAGTCTGTACTTTCAGAATCCTCAGAATTGCTTTTAAAAGAGATTTAAAAGATTAGTGAAGCTGGATTAAACATTGCATAGTACCAATAGGTGGCAAGTGTTTAAGGAGAATGCCAACATAATGTAAAAGAATAATACCATTTTATGATTATAACCGAAATTCTGTTAGCATGAATTTTTAAAACATTGCTTATTAATGAAAAATTAAAGGAAATTCTTCAAGTAGAATAAAAATAATACCAGGTAAAACATATGAAAATGCAAGAGGAAATGAAGAACACAAGGGTTCTTACAAGGGTAAATGAATACTGAGTTTACAAAACAATGCAGTGTCCTTGGGTTTGATTTATATAGAGTACAAATGTACTATATCAATAGAAAGGCCAGAAAGAGGTAAATTCAACTTAAAAGTTACAAGATTACAGTGGTACTGAAAAAGTGGTAAAAGTGAAAATTGCATAATTGACTTACAGTCAATACATATTCTCATCTCTAGAGTTGCCATAAAAGAATAGTATAACAATGCATAAATCACAAACTCATAGTAGAATCATAATAGATACTTAATCCAAAAAAGAATAAGAGAGAGAAGCAGAAAGAAACATAAAATAGATGGGTGGAGTAGAAAACTAATAATTGAGTGGTTGATATAAAACCCAATTATATCAGTAATTGCATTAAGTGTAATTTAACTAAGACCATCAGAATAGATTTAAAAAGAACGCCTATTTATGGTTTATAAGAGATGCAGTTTAATTATAAGAATATAGAATAAAGAATGGAGAAATATATCATGCATACATTACCCCCCAAAATAAACTGGTACAGTTTATATTGAGATCATTGTGTATTTTGAAACAAAACAGTTTATAATGATATGGAGCCAACTCAACAGGAGTATATCACAAGCTAAAATCTATATGCACTTGATAAAATAGCTTTAAGTATGTAGCAGAAATGAACACGAAATAAAAGTAGACAAATCTACTTTCACACTTTGAGAATTCACACCTATCTCAATAGTTAATAGGACAAGCAATTAAAATTCAGTAAGAATATAGATGATGTGAGCAACAATTAAGCAAATTTATGTAAAAGAGCATTCAGCCTCATGATGACAAATTCGACCATACTGTGGGCTCTAAATTGCAATGCATTGCAGAAGATTGAAGTTGTTTAGAGCATGCTTTTTGACCACAGTAGGATTAAACTAGACAGCAAGAAAAAGATAATTAAAAATAAACTTTATGGAAATTTAGACTCTATAGTAGTATATAAATTCTCTGGACCAAAAAATAAGAACTAACTTGGTAGAAGAAAGAATGTTATGAGAGCCTTAGAATGAAAATTCCATACAAAAATATCACCCTAAAAATAATATTTATCATTTTTTGAGTCCTTGCTAAGTTCTATGTTACTTGCTATACTTTGTAGCACCCTGTGAAACAGGCAAGGAAGCAGGAAGAACTGACATGGACCATCGGTTTGTGTATATAAGCAAGGGCATGATGTGTATGATGGGAGTAGTAGTAGTTCTGGATGATATAACTTGTTGTTTCGGGGACAGACACTGCATGAAGTAAGGTACCAAATTGTTTCCTTTAATTCTCATAGTAATGTTAATGCCATCTGGTCTCTTTTTATCCTCATTTTACAGATGAGAAAACTAAAGCTTAGAGGGATTAGAGAATCTGCCAAAGGTCACTATGATGTGGTGAAACTAGAATTCAGGACTACTTAATAATTGCCTTAATAGGGAGTTTGTGTAAGTGACCCAAAGACAATATGTTCTTATTGGAAGTTTGACATTAATAGTTATCTAACCTGAAATCTAAAGAGGAACTAAAATAATATATGTAAAGTTGGTAACCAGCACGAGTTATTTTTGTTCAGACTGACATATTACTTTAAAAAAGAAGTCAACAAGACAAGTTCTCAAACTCACTAACATGAGCAGTGGAACTGGGATTATCTTTTGGTCCAATGATTGCATCTTGTTCTCCAGTCTTGGCTTGAGTGAAGGAAGACAATTTTGAAGACAAAATAGAGACATAGCACAGAATAAGCTCACTTTCTCCCCCAACTTTGGTTTCCTTTTCTTACACAGACAGCAGCTTAAGGATCTCAGTATTACTTTGATACAAATCTGCTTCAGTCACCTACAGATAAAATTTATATCAAACTAAAAGCAATGTCACATTTTAGCTCCTTGGGAAATATGCAATAAGACTTGCTTTCTTAAAAATCATACCTAGGTGTTTGTTGGAAGAGAACGGCAATAACTATAGAGCAAGTAACAGCTAAGAAATCTTAAGTTGGACAATAGCATTCAGTTAATTTTTCCTTAACGTTTTTTCTCCATAGGAAAATCTCCACCTGGCAAAGGCCCAACACCAGGTCCTGTCCCTACAGTGAAAGAACCTCCTCAGACACCCACCAGAGAGACACCTGAGAACGCAGGTACAGAAGCCCTGTTAATTCTTCAAAAACGCAACATAGTAAATGATCCAGCTACAGGAGTCCCACCAACTCTTCAGAAACCCACCGCAGTAAATGTTCCAGTGACAGGAGTCTCATCAACTCCTCAGAAACCCACCGCAGTAAATGTTCTACATACAGAACTCTCATTAACTCCTCAGAAACCCACTATAGCAAATGTTCCAGCTGCAAAACTCTCACTGCCTCTTCAGAAACCCACCACAGCAAATGTTCCAGCTATAGAGCCTTCACTGACTCCTCAGAAACTCACCACAGTAAATGTTAAAGCTGAAAGAGTTTTACCAACTCTTCAGAAACCCACCGCAGTAAATATTAAAGCTACAGAACTCTCACTGGCTCCTCAGAAACTTAACACAGTAAATGTTAAAGCTACAGAACTCTCACT